ATTAGAAGTGAGGATGGTGAGATTTTTTATTTCTTAATTTGAGCATGTTGTCAAAAGGGACCAAATTCTGGAGAAAGATAACCTGCTTGGTAGAGAGTCAATGTAAAAGAGGAAGGTTCTCAATGACATGGATGGGTTGACAGCATAACTGCAACTGTGGATTCAAACACAGCAATGAGAGTGAGATTGACACAGAACTGGAAAGTGTTCCTTTCTGCTGTCTATAGGGTCACTGACTAGATAGCATGTAACAACAACATGACAACACAAAGAGGCAGTTCCACCTTTGAAGCATCAGAGAGTTGCAGATACAACCTGTATGATTCTACTGATGTCACGGAGCCTCTCAGATTCTTCCTCTTCATGTCTGCAAAATAGATCTGGTATTGATGATATCTCTATCTAGGGACTGGAGTGAATTTGGACCCTGGTACTAAACTGAGTTTTATGCAAAAGTAAAGACTTCCTTTCTTTCTCCTGAAAAACTCCTCTTCATGAGCAGAATTTAGTGAAATAAAGTACTCCACAAAATTTAGTGAAATAAAGTACTCCATGAGCCCTTAAGCTGCCTTTCTCTACTACTCCAGAATACGTTTCAGGACATATTTATGAGCAATAATGTTCCAGGTAGACTTCTTTTCTTGTTTCAATTTATCTAGCTTCATTTTCTGATTTGGGGATTTGGAAAGCTTATTTTTAAATTAAAAAAAAAATTCCCTCCTCACAATACCATTCCAAACATAGGTTCAATTAATCTATCTATCTCCAGTAATTAAATTCCTCAATCTTACTTCTAAAGCACTTCTTTTAAATTTGCCTAAGCCATAAGTGAATCCTTTCTTTCTGGGTTTACCATTGTTCAACTGAGGTTTATATGATGAAAATGTGCTTCCAAATCAGACTTCTGTTACATGAGTAATTATGTAAGGAATAAAGTTGTTGTGAATTGTTGTCAAGGCAGCTCTAACTCACAACAACCTTACATATAACAGAAAGTAATGGCCTCTTCATGATCTTTGGTATTTTTGAGAGTTTTGTTACAGCTGGTATGTTAAATCATTAGATTAAAGGTTTTGTTTACCTTTGTTGACCATCCATTTACTAAGCAAGATGTCCATTTCCAGAGTTTAGTCCTTCAAAATAAGGTGCGTCCAAAATAAGATAGTGACATCTCATACAGTTTTCATTGGATAATTTTCAGGAGTAAACAACCAGGCCTTTCTTCCAAGAGTATCTTAATCTAAAAATTCCCCTGGAATCTGTCCCCCCAAAAGTAATTCTACTAGTATTTGAGATACAAGTGACATAGCTTTAAGCATCATAGCAATACATCAGCCAATATAGTATGGCAATTTGACAATATCATACTAAATACTATTAGTTGCTAATAACAATCACAGTTCCACTTTATCAAGCAAGCTTAGCTTATGACTCATGGACATTTCATACATTATCTTAAGCAATTCTCAAAAACTCTAAAGTGGTCAGTTATCCTTACTTTACAAACAAAGAACAAAACTCACACAGACTAAATGAGTTTCCCAGTGTTCTACATCTTGCAAATAGCAGAATTAGCATTAAAATCAAGTTCTCCTCCAGTTTACCCAAAATAAAATCTTTACTGTCATAAAAAAGGATAGATGTCATGGTTTTCATTTTAGTTTTCTTTTTTGGTATTGATTAAGAACTATGTATAACTTTTAGGTAAAATATATGTATTAAGCAACTGATTTTACAATTCTCACCGATCGTTTTTAAGTTACTAAAAGAATACACTTTTGCCCTGAAAAATTAAATTTATTAGACAAACTATATTTCTAAAGATGAGTGAAATATGCTAAAAAGAAAGAGGCCAGATAGATGGCTTGATTACTAAATCATTTGGGTTAAGGTCTTAGTAAGGAGCATGATATATTTCCTCTCTTTTTTAAAAATTATTTTAATATTTTATTGTGGGTTTTAGCAATTTATTCTTAAATTTTATCTTGGTTTGCTCACAAAGTTCATAAACATTGTGTTTCACACTAATCTTCATTCATATTGGGTTTCATACAATCATTACCATGCATTATGTTTTATAAAATCAATCACCTTTGAACCTTGCCCAGCACTTTTCAGTGTCTTTTCAGGTGTCTTCTGAATCCTTCCCATTTCCTTCACCCCCTCCCTCCACCACCAATCTGTGCAACCCTCTGGTGTCACCCCTACCCATCCTCATCCCTCATGCTCCCACCCCTTCCCCCGTGTGTCCCTGTCCATGTTTTACTAGTTATCCTTCTATTTTTATCATTCACCAGACTCTCTAATCTCACTTTTCCTGGTGGCTTCTGAAGAGATAGGGCCCCCATTTCAGAGATCTGCTGACCTATTCTCTTCTAAGTATATGGATTAAGATTTAACGTGAATAGAGGAGATGAGATGAGAATCTTACAGAGGCTAACAGAGCAAGATAAAATCTTTTATCCTCAAAGATGCTTCATTCATTGCAAAATCAAGAAGAAAATTATTCGGTTAGTTGTTAGCTTAGGTTATAAATAATAATGAAAACAAAAAACAAAGTGAAACATACTGTATACAAATTTGTATGGAAATCAATATAAAAATTGCAAAATATTTTAAAACCACATATAGAAGAACACTTACTATGCACTAGCTATGTTCTAAGGAGATAGTGGGTTCTAGAAAGACACACAGATGTATAGCCTAATAACACAGAAAATGTTATCATCACTTCTAGGTTTACCAACAGGTCTGTTGATCTGCTAAAACTGTGGTAGTAATGAGTCAGACTGAAGACATTTGAAATGAGAACAAAAACAAAATTCTATTTTATCTAACCATTTAGCAAGAACCTCTGTACAAATCAGCCCTGAACCAATAGAATAAAGTTTATGTTCTTGACTGATCATTTCAAACCTATATAGCTCAACTTAGACTTAAAATTGATCCTCTATTTCAATATTGAAACTTGAGTAGTATGAATGATAGTTATTTCTTGGCGTGATCTGCTTTATTTGAGACTCATGAAATTATCTTAATATCTTTCCCTGAATACTTAGTATTAAATACTTTACACACTTTGCTTTATTCGGCCCTTGAAACAAATTTATAGCACATGTACTGTTACCTGTTTTAAAGATAAGGAAATGAAATAATTAAATTGTTAGATAGCTCTCTTATCATGACTTAACTAGTAAATAGTGAAGGTATGAATTGAACCTAAGGAGTCTAAATCCGAGGCTTATGCCCATTTCAGCTAAACTATTCAGCGTAAATACTGGAGACAATGACTAAAATTGCATATGTGGACACAGAAGGGGGGAGAGGAGAGAAAGAATCATTGCATAAAATTGTAACCTTCTGTATGTAATGTTTTACTTTCCACTCATGATGTTGTTGTTGTTGTTGTATACTGTTAAGTCAGAACTGACCCCTAGCTGACCTTCTGGTGAGTTTTCAGACAGTAATGGCATGGAAAGAGACTGACCATCCTTCTCCCACAGAGCAACTGGTGGATTTTAACCCCGTTCCTTTGGGATTGCAGCACAGCTTCTTACCACCAGGCCACCAGAGCTCCCTATAAAGCCTGTAAATATTTGTTGACATCATGTGTAATGTCTTTTTGTTAGATACCCTTGAGTTATTTCTGACTCATAGCAACCCTATGTACAACATAGTAAAATGTTGTTCAATTCTGTGCATCAATAACTGCTATGTTTGAGCCCCTTTAAGTCTACCATGTCAGTCTATCTCATTGAAGGTCTTTCTCTTTCCCCCTGACTTTACCACACATGATGTCCTTCTCTAAGCACCAGCCTCTCCTGATAACATGTCCAAAGTACATGAGACAAAGTTTCTTCATCCATATGTCCCTGAAGCATTCTGACTAGATTATCGAGAGACAAATTTGTTCATTCTCCTTGAATCTCATACATTCGATAGTCTTGATGACACCATAATGCAAAGACATCAGTTCTTCAGTCTTCTTTATTTATTGTCCAACTTTTGCATATGAATGTGTGAATCTATAGGAATATTATGAGGATTTTTTTTCAAAAACAGCTAGAACAATACAGTGATAGGGAAATTCAAGCTGGATTCAGAAGAGGCAATAGAATTAGAGATATCATTGCTGATGTCAGGTAGATCTCGACTGAAAGCAAGGTTAAGAGGGAAAAAAAGTTTGTATTTTATTGACGATGCAAAAGCATTTTAATGTGTGAACCATAACAAATTAACAAAAAAAATGAGAAGAATGAGAATCACAAAACACTTAATTGTACTCATATGAAACCTGTATGTAAACCAAGAAAGTGTTGTCTAAAGAGAAAAAGGGAACATTGCATAGTTTAAAGTCAGGAATGGTGTGCGTTAGTTGTGTCCTTTCTCCGTGGCTATTTAATCTGTGTGTTGAACTAATTGCTTGAGAAACTGGACTGTAATAACAAGAATGTGGAATTAGGTTTGGAGGAAGACTCATTGACAGCCTTTATTATGCAAGTGATGCAACCTTGCTTGCTGAAAATTAAGAGGACTTGAGGAAATTGCTGCAGAACATCCCATAGACCACCTACGCACAGCTATATCTGTCTTAGAGGAAGTACAAATAGGGTGCTGTTTAGAGGCAAGGATGGCAAAACATAGCACATATTTTGGGCATGTTGTCAAGAGTGGCTGGTCCTTGGAAAAGGACATCATTCTGGAAAAGGTGGAGGATCAAAGAAAGAGAAAAGATCCCAGAAATTATTATCTATACAGTGACTGTAACAATAAGCTCAAGCATATCAGAGATCGTGAAGATGGCATAGGGTAGGGCAAGATTCAGACCTTCAGTTGGTATAGGATTGCTATGAGTTGGAGTTGACTCAATAACATCTAACAAAAACATGAATGTCAGTTCATATTATTATATGATGGCTTGGGTCATCTTAGTCATCATAGTATCTTCATCATTATTGTTATTCCAGGTCTGCATCTTTTCCTGGTGCTCCTTCAGAAACATGCCCATAGCCAAGACCTGGAACAGCTCATCAGTGACTATCTTCATCTTCCTGGGATTTGCAGACCATCCAGAACTGCAGGTTCTCCTTTTTGTGACCTTCTTGAACATCTATCTCATAACCTTGGCCTGGAATCTGGCCCTCATCCTGCTGATCAAAAGTGACGCCCACCTGCACACCCCCATGTACTTCTTCCTCAGCAACCTGTCCTTCATTGACATCTGTTACTCTTCCGCCGTGGCTCCCAAGATGCTCACTGACTTCTTCCAGGAGCAGAAGACCATATCGTTTGTGGGGTGTGCTGCTCAGTTTTTTTTCTTTGTCGGCCTGGGTCTAACCGAGTGCTTCCTGCTGACTGCTATGGCATACGACCGGTATGCGGCCATCTCCAACCCCCTGCTCTACACTGTCATTATGTCCCAGGGTCTGTGCAACCGCATGGTGATTGGGGCCTATGTTGGGGGCTTCCTGAGCTCCCTGATCCAGGCCACTTCCATATTTCGACTGCACTTCTGTGGACCTAATGTCATCAACCATTTCTTCTGTGATCTTCCCCCTGTCTTGGCACTGTCTTGCTCTGACACTTTCCTCAGTCAGGTAGTGAATTTCCTCGTGGTGGTGGCTGTTGGGGGTACGTCGTTCCTCATCCTTCTTATTTCCTACAGTTACATAGTGTCTGCTGTCCTGAGGATCCACTCCGTGGAAGGTCGATGGAAAGCTTTCAACACCTGTGCATCCCACCTGATGGTGGTGACACTGTTGTTTGGGACAGCCCTTTTCATGTACCTTCGACCCAGCTCCAGCTACTCGTTTGGCAGGGACAAGGTGGTATCTGTGTTCTATTCACAAGTGATCCCCATGTTGAACCCTCTCATTTACAGTTTGAGAAACAAAGACATTAAAGATGCCCTATGGAAGGTGTTAAGGAAGAACAAAGTATTTTCATAGGCAGAAGAATCGATACCTTTGAGCTGTGATGGTAGAGAACAGTACAGAATATTCCATGGACTGCCAAAAGAACAAACATGTCTTCAATAAAGTACAACCAGGACGTTCCTTGGAGGCAAAGATGGTGAACCTTCATCTCACATATTTTGGACATGTCAAGAGGGGCCAGTCCTTGGAAAGAGACATCGTGCCGGAAAAAGTGGATAAGGGTCAGTGACAAACAGGAAGACCCTCAATAAAATGAATTAACACAGTGGGTGGCAAGTGTATCAGAGATGATGAGGGTGGCACAGAATAGTGAAAGGTTCACACCTGCTGTTCATAAGGTTACTATGAGTCATAGTCAGTGTAACAGCACCTCACAATGAAACACGTGAAAATAAATTGTTGGAAACTAGATGATCCATTGCACCCACTTCTGCCTTTGATGAGTGTGACATTCCATGTTCATATCTGAAAAAGGTTGCTCCTTCAGACAGATTTTTTTTCAAGAATGATGGCAATTTAATTTTTTTTGACAGCTACTTTTATTTTTATTTTTATTTAGGCTTCCAGTACAAGGACAACAGCACACGTTATTATAAGCAAGTCCCAACATAATACCCACTATATCCAATATAAGAGGTTTTGTTTATCTCTCTGTCCTCTTCATGTCTTGGTCTCTCTCGGTCTCTCTCTGTCTCTATCTCCCACTTCTTTTTTTTTAATTATTATTAAATTTTATTAGTTTTAATGAACATTTACAGGGATTTTGGGGTTTTCATTCCTTCATTGCTGCACCATTCTCTCTA